TTCGGCAGAAATACATCTATACATACAAGCTCTAATGCACATGCTTTTGTCACTTTGGAAGTTGGAGTTAATTTACCCCATACTTGTGAAAAGAAAGGCTTGCCACACTTGTGAGATTTAGTTGAGTTAAATTAAGTTTCAAATGAACATGGGATTCAAAAAGAAAAAACTAATTAAGAGCACGGAATGAGAATTTCACGTTTATATATTTTGTATGGCGCCAAAGGAAAGGAGGAGAAATGACAAAGAAAGAATTCACTTGATATAATAATAGGAAAAAAGTTGGAATGATTTATTTTTGGTACAAAGGGTCAGTTTAAGATAAGTTACAGGCTAAATTTTTCTTCGAAGTCAACACAAGAAATGGTCTAAGAATTAATTAATGGAAAAATAATTAACTTTTATTTTGAAAGGCAAGTGAATTGGAATTAACAAGTCTTGCCTCGTCATATTTGTTCAAATTTACAGACATGCTTTCAAGGAGGTCCAAGAGGCATGTTCAGTTGTAATGGGAAAAAGCTTTTTCCTGTGCATCACAAAAACTCATGCTGTCAGCATGTGAACCATACTCCTCACCATAAATCAACCAAGGAAGACTTCCAAAAGATCATTAGCAAAACAAATACATGATTGTTTTTTCAATATTCATAAAATATGATTTAGACCTTAATTTTTCCCTATATTATTAATTATAGCGTTGTAATTGTCTAGGATAATATTTTTTATTAATTCAAACTAAAAAATATTAATCACCAAGAATTAAATGCTTGATATATAATAAGAGATACGAAATGAGGTGCTCTTTGAGAATCAAATTAAACTTAATTTAGGCTAGTCTTTTTTGACTCTATTTTTTTTTTTTTGATCAACCAAATAAATTTTATTAATTTGGAGTATAAGGGGTATTCATACCCATTCACAGCAAATTTTATTAGTGTAAAAAATACATGACATAGTTACATACTTACTGATTTAATACATAATTCAAGATTACAAATCAAATCATATAAAAAAAAATCAACAACCATTAATTGAATCCTATAATGCTATCAATAATGTAAATATGTTTTGTTTTCTAAGAAATACTTTGATAAAAATTTAAACCTTCACATTAAATATCTTAAATTAAAATTTTGAGATGGACCATAAAGAGTTTCGAAAAGAGAGGACTATTTCCTATATATATGGTCCATGATCCTCTAATGTATAAAAAAAAATGAATGTAAATAACTAAATATGTTTCATTTTATGCCTGCTTGGTTGATTCGTTGACGGAACCATACAGGAGAAATTGAAAAAAATGCATATATGAAATGGTAACACATGGTATATATTAGGAAGTTTTTTCTTTCAAAAACTTCTTGTGATTTCTATTTTGTGTATCTTTTGCAGTATTCGTAATCTCGTTCTCAAATTCCGCTTCCATTCACCTCACCACAAGATTCTATGGTTTCCGTCCATGCATGCCAGCGAGGATCCAGCGCGTGAGGATAATTTTATGTTATTAATTAAAGAATTAATTACCAAAAATTAATTATTACTATGATTACTTATGTATAGTTGAGGGTTAAATTATTTGAAAAAGGTTCTTTCTCACTATTATATCGAGAGTTTAAATCCTTATTTTTCCTTTTCACCTCTTTTTATAAGAATTTTAATTAGTTAACTTGTTTTATTAAAAAGTTATGATTAAAAAATTTATTTATAATAAAACACTTTTTGTTTTAATTTGTTGAAATTTAAGAGTTAGAAGACTAAATAAATTCTAATAAAAAACGAAGGCTTAATATATTGATTAAAAAATGAACATACTTGAATTTGGACGGCTGGAACTTTTGCTCTTAAAGAAGGCTTAATTGGCACTTGGGAAAGTCTAGATTGTTGATCTGTTAAGCTCGCACTAGCCATTTTTATACCCAAAAGGCTAAAAGGCCAAAAGGCCCTAGTCTTCAACTTTTACCCAAAGTATAGAGAGATTTTTAGGGAGAATCTAAGTCCACAGCCAATATGCTTTATGAATCTAACACAGCCAACTAATTGCCTCCACCTAAGAAAGATTAGGAAAAAAAATAGAAAGCAGCAACATGACTTTAAAAAGGTTGAAGCTCTTTGTTAAGAAAAGCACCTCGCATATGTCACCAGAGATGCATTGCAACGACCTCGAAGATAGTTTTAATCTAGTGGGAGTTTGTGTGCCTTATCCCTTGAAGTAGTAAAGTGGGAAATTTTCAGATCAAAAGGTTAAGAAAAATATGTTTCTACTTAAATATATAATGTATAAAATGAGTTTCAATTGTCTTTTAAAAAAAAAATATATATAGTATAAGATGAGTTACTTCACTTATGGTAAAATTAGTTGCACCAGGAAAAAAACAACAAGCATGCAGAAGCTACTCTGCAGCACCACTAGGCCGGTGCAACTTTGTCAAAGTGGCCATTAAGTGGCTAACTCCCAACTGCATTTTCACTTTTCATTTATTGCCTTATGTTAGACTTTGCCTTTAAATAGCTATATTCCCTTCGTTGTATGCATAAGTTTTATCAGTTAATGAAGTTTCAATTCTCCTCTGTTTTGAGTGAGTTTCTTGAGAGTGGATTCTCTCAATTTATCTCTATATCTTAGGTCTTACCAACCTAAGTGGTGATCCCAGCAATCGAATTCATCGTAGTGGGATTTTAAATCTCGCCAAAATCGGTGTTTCGGTATCAGCTCCTACGCCATTAGTTTTAGGACAATGATAGATTCCCCCTATCCTCCTACACACTCCGTTACATTCTTTATTTTACATTATTTTTGTTAATTACACCATTAACTAGCAAGCCTTTTCTTGCTCTCCTTTCCTTTTTCCTTTTTGCTGTTCACAGACCTCACCAATTAGATCCATCTTCCTCCTCACCTCCATCCTCATCCTAATCAACCAAAAATTTTTTTTATCAATCAAACAACACACCATATTATCAAATTTGTAAAAATTTTAACCAAAATTTATAAAAATTCATTATCTTCTTCCTCTTTCCTCTTTTTTTTTTTTTTTTCTCTCTCCTCCGTCATCCTCCCAATCGAGTTCTCTTGGACAACCCGATCTGGGTTCCCATGGACAACCCAGATCGAGTTCTCTTGGAGAACCCAGATGTGGGTTCTCATGGAGAACCTGATCTGGGTTCTCTTGGAGAACCCAGATCTGAGTTCTCCTTCAAATAGATTGGGGGGAAGGGAGGAAGAGAAGGAAGAAGAGGGGAGGAGAGGGAAAGAAGAAGAAAAAGAGAGGAGGAGGAAAAAGAAGGAAGGTTGAAAATCAAAGAACGTAAAATTGCAGATTGGATGGGTTGGATGTGTTTGGGTGTTAACGAAACAGAAAGTAACAGAATGAGTGTGTGTCATAAAATGTATAACGAAGGAGTGTGCACCTAGCATTTTTCTTAGTCTTAATATGCATAAAAACTAATTTAGA